TAGGGGTATGACGTGCTGTAATGCCTCCATCAGTCTTTCAAGGAAGACGGACGGGGCTCAGTTGGTCCTGAGGACTTTCTTACCTTAGCCAAATGTGGTGGGCGTCGGTGCGCCGCCCTCTGAGGCCTGCGCACTAGAGTCTGGCGATAGACGGTCAGTCGCTCCCTACCTTCTGCCGTATTGAAGTCCCAGCCAGGCCGAGTCATAGGAAAAGCGGCATCCATCAAGGGGGGGAGCTGAGTAGGGCGTCCATCAGGTCCGGGAACATTCTTCGTGCTTCCAAGATGATTCGTTCCCGTTCCGCGTCTGTGGTGAAAGTCCGTTCGGTCTGGAGCTAACTGCTGACAGATCGTCCCAGAGTGGGCTGTGGGGGAAAACATTAGAGAGCTCCGAGTACTTGATTGATCCTGGTTTCCGCAGAGTTGCCAGAACCTCTGTAACGCGCTACAGAAACAGGGAGCTCTTTCGTGGGGGGAGCCCCAGCAGCGTGCGATTTGAGTGACATTAAGAGAGGTTCTCTCCTTGCACGCCCTGGCTTTGCAGATGGTTGCCAAACCCCTTCCTCCTTTGTGGAAATGAAATACCCCCTTCGACCCAACCTCTGAAGGACAAAGGGCCTCGGTAGCCATGGCCTTCATAGGCCAGTCGGCCCTAGACATTAAAAAGAAGCTTCAGAGGTTGGAGGGGTTGCAGGATTTCACTCTACTAGAGTTAGTTAAAGAAGCAGAGAAAGTATATCATAAAAGGGAAACCGAAGAGGAGAGAGAGAGAGAGAGAAGCCAGGGAAGATGAGAGGGAGAAGAGACAGGAAAAAAGATTAACGCGTATCTTGGCCGCAGCTGTGGGTGATAATAGGTCAGTGCCAGTGCATAAGAATAAAAAGCCTGGGAAGGAATCAGGCCCCACATTCACCGCCTCTTGCATATGGAGATTTTAGTCAAATGCCACTCCCCTTGGAACACCCCCCTTCTTCCCGTTCAAAAGCCGGGAACTAATGACTATCGGCCCGTGCAGGACCTCAGAGAAGTCAACAAACGAGTCCAGGACATTCACCCTACCGTCCCCAACCCTTACAATTTGCTGAGTGCTCTTCCACCCTCTCGTGTCTAAAATACAGTCTTGGATCTAAAGGATGCTTTCTTCTGTTTGCGGTTGCACCCAGCCAGCCAAAGACTCTTTGCCTTCGAGTGGAGGGACCCGGATTCTGGGACCACGGGGCAACTAACCTGGACCCGGCTCCCTCAAGCATTTAAGAACTCCCCCACCATCTTCGACGAAGCCCTTCATCAGGACCTAACCACTTTCCGGGCTGAGCACCTGCAGGTCACTCTTCTCCAGTACGTAGATGACCTCCTCTTGGCAGGAGCGATGGAAGAAGACTGCAAAGCAGGTACGGAAGACCTACTCATAGAACTTTCCCGCTTGGGGTATCGGGCTTCTGTCGATTGTGGATCCCTGGGTTCGCAGCGTTAGCAGAACCTCTGTACCCGCTAACAAAACAGGGGAGCTCTTTCCAGTGGGGGGAGCCCCAGCAGCGTGCATTTGATGACATTAAGAGAGCGCTTCTCTCTGCACCGGCCTTGGCCTTGCCAGATGTTTCCAAACCCTTCACCCTCTTTGTGGATGAAAAGAAGGGGGTTGCTCGAGGGGTGCTGACTCAAGCTCTAGGACCCTGGAAGAGACCGGTGGCTTACTTATCTAAAAAGCTGGACCCGGTGGCAAAAGGATTGCCAGCTGCTTAAAGGCTATAGCAGCTACCGCCCTGCTTGTAAAAGATGCAGACAAACTTACTCTGGGGCAAAAGCTAACAGTTATAGCCCCCCATGCGCTGGAAAGCATCATCCGGCAACCCCCCGACCGGTGGATGTCCAACGCCCGGATGACCCACTACCAAAGCTTGTTGCTGGACAGCGAACGGGTTTCTTTTGGAGCCCCGGTGGCTCTCAACCCGGCCACACTGTTGCCGGAGGAGCATCCGGAAAACAGAGAAGTCCTTCATTCCTGTCATGACATTCTGGCAGAAGAGACAGGGCCACGTAAGGGCCTCCGGGATGAGCCGCTACCCAACCCACACTGCACCTGGTTCACCGACGGGAGCAGCTGCATCCATGAAGGTAAAAGGGTCGCAGGGGCGGCGGTGGTCAGCAAAGATCAGGTCATATGGGCTGGTAGCCTACCTGAGGGAACCTCTGCCCAAAAGGCGGAGTTAGTTGCCCTGACACGAGCCCTCGAGCTGGCAGAAGGGAAAAGGGTCAACATTTACACAGACAGCCGTTATGCTTTTGCAACAGCCCACATCCATGGAGCCATATACCGCCAGAGAGGCTTGCTCACCTCCTCGGGAAAAGAAATAAAAAACAAGCAGGAGATTTTACGTCTCCTTGAGGCTATTCACGCCCCCCAGGAGGTGGCCATTATTCATTGCCCTGGGCACCAGAAGGGAACTTCCGAGGTGGCCCAGGGGAATAAAAAAGCTGACTGTGAAGCAAAACAAGCGGCTCTAAGGTCAGGAATTCTGATTCTTGCCGCCAGTCCCCCGGTGGCGTCACCGACATTCCCCCACTACTCCTCAGAAGAGGAGGAGAGCCTGGCAAAAAAACCTGCCAAGTTCTCTAAAGATCAGCAGGGGATCTGGAAGACTAGAGAGGGAAAAATTGTCCTGCCCAAAGAAGCCGCTCGGGCATACTTAAAGCAATTGCATCGTCTTACTCATTTAGGAGCAAAGCATCCACGCTCCAATTGCCAGTCTACAAAATACCACATCCGGGGACGCAGTCGCTTAACTGAGGAAGTAGTTCACCAATGCAAAGCTTGTCAACTAGTAAACTCTCACCCATCCCAGGCTAGCCCCCGGCGGCGCCTAAGGGGAGAGCGTCCTGGGGACAATTGGGAGATAGATTTCACAGAAGTAAAACCAACCCGGTATGGATACAAATATCTTCTAGTTTTTATAGACACCTTTTCAGGATGGGTAGAGGCTTTCCCCACAACGAAGGGGACAGCAACAGGTGGCCAAACGAGTCCTGGAAGACATCTTCCCCAGGTTCGGAATCCCTAAGGTAATTGGATCCGATAACGGCCCAGCTTTCATTGCACAGGTAAGTCAGGGAATGGCCAAGATACTTGGGGCGGATTGGAAATTACATTGTGCTTATAGGCCCCAAAGCTCAGGTCAGGTAGAAAGGATGAATAGAACTCTAAAAGAGGCTATGACTAAATTATCCTTAGAGACTGGCATAACAGACTGGACAGTGCTCCTTCCCTTCGCCCTCTTTCGCGTTCGGAACACGCCCGGCCCCCTGGGGGTGACCCCGTTTGAGGTTCTGTTCGGGGCTGCCCCACCCCTCATGGCCGACCCGTGGTCTATGCCGGCTGATGTTAATGCTCCTCATTCCCTACTTGCTAGGTTGAAAGCCCTTGAAGTCGTTCACAGGGAAGTCTGGGCACCTTTGGCCGCCCTCTACAAGCCCGGAGAAGTACGAGTGCCACACCCGTTCCAGGTCGGTGATCTCGTTTACGTCCGGCGACACCGAGCTGCCAATCTCGAGCCAAGGTGGAAAGGACCACACCTGGTGCTGCTAACGACCCCAACAGCTATCAGGGGAACTATACCAGCACCACCAGCCCTATTGCTTGCACTTGGGGAAGTCGCGGAAAACTTACCCTGACTAAGGTTTCAGGACAAGGCTCCTGCATCGGAAATGTCCCCGATGATCGACAAGGACTCTGCAGTGACAAGAGAGGAGCCCCCTCAGGTGAAGGTTACTACTTAGTTCCCCCACAGGGGGGATGGTGGGCTTGCAACACAGGGCTGACCCCCTGCCTGGCAGCACAGATTTTTAACAAATCAGCAGAATACTGCGTCCTTGTCCAGTTAGTTCCCACAATTAGGTATTACTCAGCTGCCTCTTTTGAAGAGACATATAAGTCCCCCTCCTCCGCCCTAAAGAAGGGAGAACTAGTGTCCTTAACCCTAGCAACTCTCCTGGGCGCAGGGGTGGCAGCTGGAGTAGGAACAGGGACTGCAGCTCTAATTAAGGGGCCCCCTTATTCAAGAGAGCTCCAAATGGCAATGGATGAAGATCTTAAAAGCATAGAACAGTCCATCACCAAGCTTGAGGAGTCCTTAACTTCCCTGTCCGAGGTGGTCCTCCAAAACAGGCGGGGACTAGACCTGCTCTTCCTGAAGGAAGGGGGACTGTGTGCGGCCTTAAAGGAACAGTGCTGTTTTTGTGCCGATCATTCCGGAGTCCTTAAAGATTCCATGTCTAAGCTTAGAGAGAGGCTGGAATCCCGGAGAAAGGAGCGAGAGGCCAAACAAGGGTGGTTTGAAGGCTGGTTTAACACCTCTCCTTGGTTAACAACCCTCCTCTCCACCTTGCTGGGACCCTTACTCATCCTCATCTTGCTCCTAACTTTCCGGCCCTGCATACTAAGCCGACTAGTGACATTCATCCAAAAACAGGTCAGCACTGTCCGGTTAATGGTTTTACAACAGCAGTATTAGCCACTCGCTATAGATAATAACCCATAGTTTTAAGATTAAAACTCTCTCAAAAAGAAAAAGGGGGGAATGTGGAGAAAAATCTAACCTGCCGTTCTGCTTCTGTAAACTGCGCTCGCTCAACCCTATTCCCTCCCCCGCTGGCGCTGGCGCCACTCTGTAACTCCCCGAAAACCGCTTGCCGTTAGTCCTTGGAGTTTATTGACCAAGATTAGAAGTTCCCGATTAATATCTGGTACATGTTTGTGCAAGGTCAAAGCCCATGGAATTTCCCCCCACCCTGTGATCCCTAGCCACCTGCGTGTGGCTTCTGCCTATAAAAATCCTAAGGAAAAAAAAGGCCGGCGCGGCAGCTTCCTTAGCTCGCTTGCCCCTGCGCTGCGCTGGAAAATAAAACCTCATGCTTTTGCATCAAGTCTCTGGACTCTGAGTCTTTTATAGGCGGTCGTCTCTCCCCCACACGGGCTGTACATTTCTGCGGCCTAACAAAGCAATCATCCTGCCTCAGCCCCCTGAGTAGCTGGGACTACAGGCATGCGCCACCATGCCCGGCTAATTTTTTCTATATACATTTTTAGTTGGTCAATTAATTTAGCAGAGACAGGGCCTTGCTCAGGCTGGTTTCGAACTCCTGACCTCGAGCAATCCGCCCGCCTCAGCCTCCCAGAGTGCTAGGATTACAGGCGTGAGCCACCACGCCTGGCTTCTTTTTTTTTTTTTTTTTGGGAGATAGAGTTCCATGTTATCTGCCGCGACGTGATGCCGGAGGGGTCAGCCTCGCTTCACCACAACCTCCAGACTCCTGGCCGTGAGCGATCCCTCCCCTGCCTCAGCTCACCGAGTTACCTTGGGAACTACAGCAATGGCGCCACCATAGGCCCGGCTCAATTTTTTGTCTATATATTTTAATGTGTCAGCTAATTTATTTCTATTTTTTTAGTAAAACAGGGTCTCACTCTTGCTCAAGCTGGTCTCAAAATCCTGAGCTCAAGCGATCCTCCTGCCTTGCCCTTCCAGAGTCCTAGGATTACAGGCGTGAGCCCACCACCGCCAGCTATTTCTATATTCCAGGTATATGGCCAGCACTAACAGTCTCATCTGGAGGCTCAACCTAAGGAACAAAATCTGCTCCAAGCTGATAGAGTTTGTTACGGATTATTTTCCTATGTTGGCATGTATGTTGGAGGCCTGGCTTTGTAGCCGATTTCTTAGAGGCTGTCTACAGATCCATCAAGGCCACCACAGCTCTTTCCCATGTGAAGTCCTTAACATAGGCTTGCTGCTTCTCTCAAGCCAGCAGGAGGAGCTCTTTGCCTCAGTCTACTTGAGTGTGGGTTGTATATAATGCAATAACAGTCACAGGAGTAGAGGAAGAGAGCCGTCGACTGCTTATAGACAACCAAACAGATGGCACAGTCCGCAGGTCAAACCTGGAAAGAAACCTGGACAAGAAACAGGGAACACCGGTCCCATGCCTGGCTGTGGCTATTAAGCTAGATCACATACTAAACGCAAGTTCTCTGGACGCGTAAATTTCTTAGTTTAGTGAATAAAGGAGGTAGGAGACAGTTTGGATACTAAGAAAGAAATCGATGTTAAAAGTACGCACAGAGCACTATCATTCACCTTCAGGCAGAAATTAGAGATGATCCACTCCAATGCTATGAGTTTTAGGTAAAATTCCGTGTGTCCTGTTCAGAAACAATCTGGCAATATGTATCCAAGCGCATTAAACGTTGACACCTTGGCTACGGCACAGTGGCTCATGCCTGTGAATCCTAACGCAACAAAAACACTGAGGCGAGAGTGGGATCGTTTTGAGCTTAGGAGTTTGAGCCAAGCTGAAAAAAAAGTGAGACCTGTCTACTAACAAAAATAGAAAGAACTTAGCTGGCACAAAATAAAAATATATAATACTGAAAACAAAGAAATAGCCGCGAGCAGTGGCACATCTGTAGTCCACTACTTGGGACAGGCGCTGCAAGCAGGTGTTATGCTTGGAACAGGATTTAGGTTGCTGTGACAGAGCAGATGCACCAGCACTCTAGCCCAGGCCAAAACATGAGACACAAAATTCAAAAAAAAAAAAAAGAAAAAGTGTCACACCTGTCAACGATATAACTTTTACATGTGCAAGCTTGGCCTAGAGTCACAGGAATCAAGATATTGGTTAGAAGTATTTACAGTGTCTGTGAGGTCTTTCTGGAGGAGAATCAATATAAACGACGTAGACAGATAAAGCAGATTGCCTCCAGGGTGGAGTGGGCCTCTCCTCCTCTGAAGGCTGAATGTAATAAGAGCCCTGAGTAAAGAGAATTCTTTTCTCTCTGCCTTTGAGCTGAACCTCAGTCGTCTTCTGTGCTGGAACACAAGCTAGCACTGACATACTTGCTCTTCCTCTGATTCCAGCATTTTTTTTTTTTTTTGAAGTCCAGAGTCTCACTCTGTTGTCCGGGCTAGAGTGCCGTGGCGTCAGCCTAGCTCACAGCATCCTCCAACTCCTGGGCTCAAGCGATCCTCTTGCCTCAGCCTCCCGAGTAGCTGTAACTACAGGCATGTGCCACCATGCCTGGCTAATTTTTTCTATATATTTTTAGTTGTCCGGCTAATTTCTTTCTATGTTTGTAGAGATGGGGTCTCACTCTTGCTCAGGCTGGTTTCGAACTCCTGGCTTCATGCGATCCTCCTTCCTTGGCCTCCCAGAGTGCTAGGATTATAGGCATGAACCACTGCACTCAGCTGATAAACTTTTTTTTTAACTTTGACTTCTAATTCTGATGCTAACCAGTCTTCTGCTGTAAAATGTTTTGTGTCTCTGTTTACTCTTTTTTTTGTTTTTGTTTTTTTGTTTTTATTGAGACAGAGTCTCACTTTGTTTCCCAGGCAGAGTGCCATGGCGTCAGCCTAGCTCACAGCAACCTCATACTCCCGGGTTCAAGCGATCCTCCTGCCTCAGCCTCCCCAGTAGCTGGGACTACAGGCATGCGCCACCATCCCCGGCTAATTTTTCCTATATAGTTTTAGTTGTACAGCTAATTTCTTTCTATTTTTATTAGAGATGGGGTCTCACTCTTGCTCAGGCTGGTTTCGAACTCCTGAACTTGAGCGCCCACCTCGGTCTCCTGACCTCCGCCCGCCTCGGTCTCCCAAGTGCTAGGATTCCAGGTATGAGCCGCCTACCCGGCCTTCAATTTACTCATTTGATTATATGAAATACTATTGTTTTGTTTAATCTCTTAAGGATTTTTTGAGGAACAGCTAACTAAAAACTATATTTTGTATGTTAAACTCTAGTTTTCACAATAACCATCTTGGATGACTAGTCTGACACATCCTCATGTTACTGGGTATACCCTCAACCGTCACCCCCAAACTCTGTAGATTGAACAAGTATAGTGATCTATCATAGAAACAAACTATTTGTTAAAAACTCCAGGAAAGTGAGTACTAATTTTAGATTATTAACTTTTGCTTTTCTTTTCCTAGAATGAAATTAAAGCTCTGTCTGAGGAAAGAACTGCCATTAAAGAACAGCTGGATTCATGTAACAGTACCGTTGCCATTTTACAAAATGAGAAGGACAAGCTAGAGTTGGAAATTACGGATTCCAAAAAAGAACAAGATGATCTCTTAGTGTTTTTGGCTGAACAAGATCAGAAAATATTTTCATTGAAGAGAAAACTCAAGGATCTTGGTTATCCAGTAAGATTAAAGTGTTTCCAAATATGACTTGTATTTTCTTTAGATGCTTTAGAATTTTTAATTTAGACCAGAAAAGATGTACCTATATTATAGGCATAGACATGTGGGTTCATGCATATGGTATCATCTGCATTGCTTTCACTGTGTTGAGTGAATTGACTTAAGACACAGATGAAGTTCAGTTTCTAGCACTTGTAGACTGTCATCTGTTGGATCTTGACCTATAGAGTGAATTGATTCGATTGCTCTTTTGATAGCAAGACTGTCATCACCCAAGTATGCCATTATTTTCTACCATATTTGGTTCAGACGTATGTGTCGAGAGGTATAGCCATTTCATCAGCAAAGTTAACTGGTACATCTCATTCCTATTGAAAAGGTTAGGGGCCGGGCACGGTGGCTCACGCCTGTAATCCTAGCTCTCTGGGAGGCCGAGTCGGGCGGATTGCTCGAGGTCAGGGGTTCGAAACCAGCCTGAGCAAGAGCGAGACCCCGTCTCTACTATAAATAGAAAGAAATTAAATGGCCAATTAACATATATATATATATGTATATATATACA